CAGGTTCCACTTTTACACAAACATGATCTTTCTGCACAGACTACCTACATCCCCTAATTATCATTCCTTCAATACATTAATTTGCATTTAACATACAGTGTTGCACACTAACAGGCTACCATGCAAATGAGGGGGAAAGGATGTTGAAATAAAAATCTATAGGTACCTAAAATAGGCAGAGGAAGCCACAGTCAATGCAGCTGCAGCTCTCTTCACTGAGTTGACAGGAGCTGAGCACAAAGGTGTACAGGCAATAGTACCTGCCTAATTGCCCCTCAGAGATTACTGTACCCTCTCCATGCACCTTATTCCTGTAACCTGGGTTAGCCTTCACAGATACTCCACGTGAGAAATGGTTGCTTTAAATAGCTGGAGGCTTTAGTAAGGAAACACCTTTTCAGTGACTAGATTGCTGCCAGAACAGGAAAGAACTTTAGAGTAAATGAATAACAAAGGCACAGCGCAGTTCAGTGTGCCAGGTACACACTGGTTGAAGCAGGGGAGCTCTGCCCTCCTTTTCACTCATCAGCACATCTTTCCATCTCTCTTAGAGAATGTCCTTGAATTCTCCTTATAGGTACATTTGTACCGTGGGAGAACAGGGAAGTTTACTTTAGAGCCATTTTAAAGACTTCTTTTTTAATGACACTTTGAGCCAAGAGGGGTCTGCTTTCTGTTTTGGATTGCATATATAATCCAAAGGGGATTAATGTGGTGATGATTGCTAGGCTAAACCAGATCAAAAAATGTTAAAGCATAATGTACTCTATCTAATGTTTAATAATAGCTGTAGTTTTAGAGTACTTCTGTCATTTTAGACTTTTTATTCATTTTAGTAGCAATATAATCATTCAGTGTTAAGATTATTCCTACATTACCTGGGATGACTTGCAGAAAAGCAGAAGCTTTTATAACAATATGTCGGTCTCCAAAGCAAGGAACTGCGAAGACTTAGAGCAAATTTTTACCAGAGCCAAGAGGGCTCCTACTTTGTACAATTTCCTTACACTGGACTATTTTTTTGTTGGCATTGAAGTTTTTATTTGTAGGTGAAATAAAGCAAATTACTTTGTTTGGTGAATAGTTTTTAGAGAATCTGCAGATATTTTTTCACAAACCTGGATCATTCCATGAGCTGGCTTACAGCACATCTCCTCAAGACTATATTAGCAAAGAGATAGGGAGAGCAATCTGTGGGGGGGAGAAGTCTATCAACCAGTGAGTGTGTGGGTAGGAACTTAAAGTTGCTTTGATCAAAAAATTGCACTTGATCCAAAAATGTCTTGCAGTTACTCCATAGGTGAGTATAACTGACATAGCTGAGAAACAAGGCATCACAAGTCAAAATGAGGGGGAATCTAAATATTTTTTTTAATCATGACTGATCAAATAGCTTTAATCATTATGTTTCAGCTTGACACGATAGCAAAGAGAACAGACCTCAAATCTGAAGAGCAAGTATTTACCACTGAAAAGTCAATTCCTCTGTCACTAGTGCTGGCAATAGTATCACTATAATTATGAGTTTAATATCTGAAATTCGTTGATTTCATATTTGCATGCATGTATGCTAACTAAAATTAATTAATTTTAATTGCATACACCAATTACAACATCAGGCTCATTTTCCAACATATTATTCCTCGCTGATTACATATCCTCTAAGATTGCTTTAATTTTTCATTTTGTGCTTTAAAGTCAAAGAATAATATGTATTTCTAATTAAGCTCACTTACATATCTCACTGCTGATTAAATCACTATTTAATATTTTATAACACAAGCCACCTTTAATTTCCCCCACTGAGAGTAAAAGCCTTGCAAACTCTTTTCTTTCTCCCCTCTATTTCACCGACCTTGCCATTGCTGTGTTGCTACAGGCAGATTTCTTCCATCTGCACAGCAGAATGCCAATGAACCACCTTGTTGACAGACATTCATCCCTGAAGGTAGAGGCAAGCACCTTTCTGACCACAGGACTCGCTCGAAAGAGATCAGTAACCTGCCACCATCACTAGGAGCAAAGAAACTCGGGAGAGATTTTTAGCAGCGTCTTGGGGGATTGCAGGTCTTGCTGAAAGTCTCTGGAGCTGACACATTTAAAACCTTTTAGGGGATCCTGGAAGTCCCCTGTTGGTGCCTACCAAGGGCTGAATGTTGAGAAATTAAGAGGAAAAGGGGATTCTTCTCTCTTTCCCAGCCACCACTGCAGAGTGAAACTTGCCCATCAGTCCTGATCCATGACTCCATTGGTAAATCCAAAATCTTAACAGAAATTGGCAGAAAATCTTGAGAAGTCCCAAGATTGCTTTTACATACCCAGGGGTATTATGCAATTTGTAATGTACAAGATAAACATCTCTTTTCTATCACATCAATCCTGGGGTAGTAGAAAAGAGGAAGCTAAACCAGATTAAATTCTTAACAAATTTGACTTCTTAATAACCAAGAGAAGAACTTAACTCAGAACTTGACCCAAACTTTATTGAAATTAATGGGAAACTCCTGATCATGTTGTTAGAAGCATGATTAATCCCATGCATAATGGATACACTTACTTGTGTCAGTGGGATAGATTTAGGAAGACCAGTGCTGACTTGGGGTCTGAATGAAAACAAAGCATCTCAGTATCTGTGGTTTTATGCCCTGCACTTTCCCCCACTGCCCCCCACTAGTTATTAGAAAAAGGTAATTTTACCTGAATTACTTGTTAAACTATATCTTTGCAGCAGTTAACCCTTTGTTAGCATCTAATTAATTGGCTAGAGACTCATTGGCCCAGACTAATCACATCTCACACTTGGTATGTCAGCAAAGCATGGAATACCTCCCACAGGGAGGCAGAAGGAGAGAGGAGTCCCCAGGGCATGGTTGATCCCCACTAAGCTCTGAATTCTGCTCTCCACTGACTACCAAAGCTTTATCTGATTCGATACATCTAAAACTAGTTAAGTGTGCCATTGTGATAACGTCAGGTCAAAAAGCAGGGTGGGATGCTATAAGTGAGAAAGTTTCTCTTGAAACTACTGAATCAACTGGGAGAAAAATCACAACCAGAATACTCTGCACACTAAGTTTCTTACTGAATTACACTAAAAGTTATATATTGGCACAAATATTTGGTGGTACTAAAACAGGAAGACACAATCAAAGGAAAAATACACTGTCCAAACCCTTAAAATACTATGCTTCAGGGAAAACAGAAAACACAAGGAAGAAAAATGGAGATAGAAATAAAAAGAGAGGGAAACTTTTCTCCCCCTCCAAAAAAAAGAAAAACAACAACAACAACAACAAACCGGGAGGAAGGAAGAATATATTTTTTAAAACATCCCTGTCTCTCGTCTCTCAAAAATAGTCATTTATATTCTTTTTTCTTCTCAAAACTGGATGATTATTCAGGCTACATTCAAGATGTAGGTAAATGCTGTTGCTGTGTCCAATAGGATATCACAGTCCTTCCAAGGAAAAAATGAGCTCTCTGTAAACTAAGACTGATGAGCCAGCAGACTTTTTCAGACAATAAATAGAAGAAAAACAAAAGGGAAGAGAGCTCGTGTTTGAAGACATATTGTGGAAATTAGCTCAAGTCCCTGCTCGAAGTCCCTCTAAGTTTATTTGTCGCCATCTAAAAATAGTGAAATTAGAATGAGAAAGGAGCCTAAATTCAGGCATTAGTTGGCCTGTCACACTTTATCAGCTGTGAAATGGGGCTCATATTCCTTTACTTCCCTCAGACTAAAATCATATATATTAAATATATGTGTCATTTCAGGTAATATAGTAGAAGAGACAACATTGCATTTAAAAAAGAGAGAAATAATATAACCAATTTTTCAGATTTCCTTTGGATTAATTTCCTTCTTAATGTTAAGTCAGGACAGAGAAAGAGAGAAAGAAAGAGATAGAAAGAGAAAGAAAGAAAAAAGAAAGAAAGAAAGAAAAAAGAAAGAAAGAGAGAAAGAAAGAAAGAAAGAGAGAAAGAAAGAAAGAAGGAAAGAAAGAAAGAAAAAGAAAGAGAGAGAGAGAAAGAGAGAGAGAAAGAGAGAAAGAAAGAGAAAAGAATTTTTTGTTTATCTTTACATGTCAGAACCAATACAATATGTATATTTTGGCATACAGGTTTTTTTAAATGTATAGTTAAATTGCGAACTTTTTTGTTTTGCATTAATTACACTTTGCACGTTGCCTAGGTCTGTGTGCTATGTCAGAAGACAGTATTAAATAGCATGGGCTTAACCTTTCTTTAGTCTATAAAGTAAGTCCCTACACACAGCCAGCTGACCGGACTGCTTACATTGTCAATGGGAACAGATGTTCAAGAGGACCGTTTATCTTCAGTACCTTATGTGGAGGAGAAGAAATCGGACTGGGAGAGATATAAAGCCTGGTATGAATTATATGGAGCCTGAAAGGACTATTTGGTTATGGACATTCGTGTTATTCCCCAGTTCTGAACCCAGTCTTATGTACCCTCACAATTATCCCCTTATTACTCCCTATGGTTTATATTGTTTAGGGCTTGTTCAGACTTGCCCTCACAGTTTTCCCTCCAAAAGTTGTTTACTCCCTTGTTCTCCCCTGCTTTCCCGCTCCTCTGTCACTGATTGGCTGAAGTTTGCCGCAGTCAGTTGTGGAACCTCCCCTTACCCAAACCCTATTTAAGTCAGTGTCTCCCTCAATAAAGTTGCCATTGCACCCTCACCTTCTACCTGTGTGAGAACCCTCTGTGCAGTGCTGCGTCCCTATTCCCCTACCCTCGGGCCGTGGCACCTTAGACATCCATCTTCCACAAATGCCTATTGAAAGATCTCCTCCACTGGCTACAGTAAACCCAGATAGGTATTTTTTAACAAAATACCTAAGGTTTAAATACTAATCCCATGATAAAATGAATTCTGTGCTCCTGGGGAAAAATATGACTAGATTATCCAGAGTGTAACCTTTAGGAGACAAGAGAAGAATGTTTCTTGGAAGGGACAACATTTAAGCAGAATACAGAGACATCTTAAGGTTCTGATGACTGAGCATTTCCAGGGCAATGACAATGCCCATGGTTGGACATTCTTAATATGAAAAATAAAATCCTTCCCAATGAACCTAAACAAGATCCTTAAAAATTATTTGTGTTTATCTATAGTAGGAGACAGAAGACAATTTCTGCTGTTTATATTTTCATTTCCTGTGTAGAAACAATATCAGAGCTGGGAACATCATAGTTGATCCTGTGTTCGTATCCCATATGCAAGGGAAGCCCACAGCAACAAAAGAACTGTTCATAAACAATATTGATTCACCTTTTCCTAATGCATGGACAAAAATGTCATCAACAAGCTGGTCAACAGCCTGAAGCAATGAGCCTTATAATAGTCTGCTAAGCCAAGAATAACACAGTATTCCTTTATTTATTCAAATGTCACATCAAGTGCATGTAATCCTCCAAGAGATGAATGGATTTAAAGCAACAGGGGTATGATTTACAACAGCTTCTTTTGTGGGTGTCGCACCCACATTGTTCCCCAACATTGTGTTGGCTTTATAAGTTACTGAGCTGGCTTTACCTGATTCTCCACCTCCACCCATCTCTGCTGTTCTGTTATACTTTCAGTCCCAAGAGTTACCATTTCAATTTTATTTTTTCTCTTTTACAAGGCTATTAAAAGCTGTATATCACAGCAATTATGAAAGGTTTTTCAGTTTTGCTACATTAAGCATGATACAAATGTAGGAAAGTATCTTGAGAGAGAAACTGTTCATCTTAGAGCCTTTCCCACTATGTTTATTTCTCTCATTAAAATAAGTGATCATCCAGGGGAGTGGACTAGAGCTACCCACAAAAGCCTATTGATCTCTTCTAGATGAAAACTTTACTAACAGTGACTAGATAACACTTTTCAATTAAATAGTTCATAAAGGCAAGGCAAGCAGAAAATATGAAAATCCTGTAATATCTCATTTCTAAAACTACATTCAACTGAATAATAACATGGCATAAGTATAATCCTATGAACCTTCCACTGTAATTGCTATTTGTTTAATTTATAAAAAATCCAAATATACTACTCTGGGAGGTTGAAGAGCTTTGGGGAAGAGGTGAAATTTTTTTTTCCTTCACTTTAATCCCATTACAAGCTTTTCTTTGTGTCTATATATTTATACAATATTCATTACCATAATTTAAAAACATGTGAGCATCACAATAATGGGTTTATGATTAAATGTTTTTAATATTTTCCTAGTAAGAAATTTATATTCTGCTCAAGCCAGGATATTTGGATAGAGAGCAAGCATCCAAATATCAATCCATGGTAAATCACCGAATTTCAGTTACGCCCTGTAAGAAAACTCGAGTGATTTGATGCAACTTGAATCTAAGGGGGAAAAAAAGCTTTTGTTTTGAACCCCTCATGTCCACCCTAAATAAAGAGCTGTTTTTTTGAGAGCTACCTTTTTTCTCCATAGAGTTTCAGACATCAATAAAGGTGACAGAGAATGTCCATTTCATGGAATATGCATGGTTGCATAAATAATAAATATAAGTACTCAGCAGCATGGCATACATGACTCATACACACAAAGCAGTCTATCTAGCAAGCTAAAAATAATATTCTGGCAAAATTCTGGACAGAAATTTGAACAAAAAGGTTGTTAAACATTTCTCAGGTACACAGAGCCAAAAAAAATCCCCAAATCAACAAACTTTAAAATAACCTCAATGCCATAGAATTTTAGAATCATTTATGTTGGAAAAGACCTTTAAGATCATTGAGTCTAATTGTTAAACCAGCACTTCCAAGTCACCACTAAACCATGGCCCTGAGTGCCACATCTACACGTCTTTTAAATACCTCCAGGGATGGTGACTCTATCGCTTTCCTGGGCAGCCTGCTCAAACACCTGACAACCCTTACCATAAAGCAATTTTTCCCAGTATTCAATTTAAACCTTCCCTGGCACAACTTTTCCCTGGCCAAAAGGCCATTTTTTTTGTCCTGTCACTTGTTACTTGGGGCACTGATCCCCACCTGGCTACAACCACCTTTTGAGTAGTTGCAGAGAGCTGAGCCTGTTTTGCCTGTTTTGACTGCACAACCCCAGCTCCCACAGCCACTTCTCATCAGACTTGTGCTCCAGACCCTTCACCCACTTTGGTTGCCCTTCTTTGAATATGCTCCCTTCCCACTGCTTGGGAATCCAAAGAATTATTCAAAGAAAAGCAGTCCTGTAAAAAATGGCAACATGCAGTTCAGAAGTTAATGTCTCTCCGAAGTTTAAGATCAAATGTGTTTGTTTTAGAGAAAGGCTATTTGCTTCCCATTTCCTCTCCCAGTAACAATTCCAAAAAAATTACTGTGCATTTAAAGTCAGCCTAGATCCTCCCTCTCTGCTACATTACCATCAGTAAACAACGTTTGTGCAGAACTAATTAGGTGTGTTACCATATCTTAGTAATTCCACTGCCATCAATGTATATATTGACCCATCACAACATCACTGAGTCGGATACAGTCTCTTGAGGCTATCTGATGTATCCTTTTAATTAAAACTCAGAAAACACTTCTAATGATAAAGATACACAGAAAGGAGAAGAAACACAATCTCTTCATGGAGCCGTGTCACTTCTGGAGGATGAACATGAGTAAAACAAGCAGTAGAGACATATTTTTCCTGCAGAAGTCAGCAGATAAAACTCTGAACACATATGGAGCGGATCTGGTAAGTTGAACGGTGACACTTTAGTATTGTTGCTTTTCAGAAGGGAATCAAACTTTGAGAGCTTATGTCCTAAGTTGTTTTCAAGAAATTTTCTGGAGTGGTTAACAAATTCATTTCGTATAAGAAATGTCTAGCAAGCATTGTAAGATAGACACCATTATTTATGTGATCTTAAAAATATTCTATGTTCATTGTTTACCATTTAAGAAAGAGAAAAAGGGAAATAATTACATTCTATACACTGGTGAATGTATGGCGTCAATCTCTTCTTTAACAGTTTTGTTACATTTTTGTCACAACTATCAAAGAGGTCAAACAAAAATGGCATTCACAAAGCTATGTGCTCTGGTAGAAACCACAGAAATGCCAATTAATTGTGAAAGTTCCTCAGAACCTCTTGAAAATTGGAGTATCCAAAGATATACAGTTGGCCATTTCTTTACTGTCTAGTCTTACAGTTTCTGTCAGTAGGATATTAAAAAGCATATTATTTTCTTCCTTTCTGTTATGACCAAGCTGTCTATGTTAAAATAAAAATAATAAAAATTCAGAAACATGTTTTGATTCATCCAAAACTTATAGACTAGCCATACTCAGTTAGATGAAAGTTCTCTCTTGATCATTCTCTGATATTGGACACTAATGTATGAGCAGGTGAAAATATAGAAACAAATAAAATTATGGAATGCTATTTCCCCAGTATAATCAAAAAATAATAATTGGTTTTAGTCTCTCAACTTCTGGAGATGCGATCTGAAGGTAACATACACTAATACAGCAACATTAGTAGACAAACTGAATAAGTTAATTGATTTAGTGTCTTATTTTTTTCTGTATTTGGAAAATTCAGAGACCACAACCATCTCAAGCATCTTTCAAAAAATGTGAAAGCTCCCTCCCTATGACAAGACACCAAAGACCTTTCCTTTTCCACCTTGTTTTCCTTCCAGAGGGTTACAGATGTTTTGTTAGCTGCCACCAGCAAGACTACTTAATTAGAATAAAGGTTTGGTTCTCTTAACAAAAAAAAAAAGAAGATATAACCTCCACAGCAGTTATTGAACAGAAGCTTTAGTGAAAATTCCCGGAGGAGACATTGCAAAGATCAGAGACAGCTAAGCCTTATATTTAGTGATAGACAGTTTGATTAACTGAGTTTTCACATAGTGTTCCTCCTTTTCATTATTCTAAGAAAAGACTATTTCAATGTTGCTTCAAATGGCACTTTCATTTCTTTTCCAAGAACACCTTTGCCCAGCATTCTTCATTCTGTCTGATAATCTTCGAGTCCCAATGCACTACTGTTTGGCACATAACCTCTTATTTAAATTGCCATAAGCAAGCACATTTGGATTCCTGGTTTACCACCAGCTTGATTATTTACAGTGTTCAGGTTACACTGTTAGATACAGAGGTTACTTGTATCCCTTTTTCTCTCTTTGGATTGAGACCACCATAGTTATTACAGTTCACCAAATGTGCCTGAGACTCTTAAAGGCAACTGGAAAAATGCATGGTTACCACTCAAAAGAGAAAGAAATTTGTTTAGATGGAGATTTCCAAAACATTTTTCTTTTGAACACGGAAAAGTCCAAAAATTCTGCTTGAAAAGAGCAGTTACTGAACTTTTCGAAAAGATCTATTGGATCTGAACACCTTCGTCCTGTTACTATAATAGTTTACTCACTTAACTATATACAAGTGTCAATGTTTAACACATTTACCTTTAGACTAGATATTCTCTGTTGTGACATTCACTTCCTTAAGAATTTTCAAAATCATTACCAATTCCTCCCACAAGAACCTTGTTAAAATACAAGGAGAAAGTCAGACAGATTTGACCTTGACGAGAACACTACTGATTATTTTTTCAGGTATCTTCATATCACAGCTTATTATTGAATATAGTGGGTTCTGTAGAGTGATGTTTGTTCTATAAAATGCAGTTTACAGTTTCTAGTCTTTGTATCTCTTTCAAATGACAACTTTATTTCCTGCTATATTTTTCAAAACACTAATTAAGGGGAGATGTGGGGCTCAGAGAAGGCCTTTTAAAACTTCAAGCAATGAGAAGAGACTTTTCCCTGTCATTTGTATCATTTCAATAATTTAAGAAAAAGAAGAAAAGAAGCTGAGGCTTCATATTTACAATACAGGGATTGGATAATTATGTTTCATCAGATCCTAAACATTAGTGCTGTAGGTGGGGTCCTATCACAGCCTTTGGCAGGAGTAACACAAGGCATATTAGAACTCAGTAATTATATCTTCTTTAAAACTACTGCTTTAGAAACAGCAAGGAATAACTTGTAGATGTCTTTTGAATAAATGGGACAGTTTAGTGTCTCGCAAGAAAAGGGACACATGACATTTGCTTTCAGAGTGGAATATGGGAGGAGTAGCCTCAAAATTTAGCTTTTCTTTTTTCCTCTCTGCAAAGTGTTACACAATTAATCCCACAAGTTTTATTTAATTCTAATATTGTAGTACCTACCTAGTAGGCTCCTCTTCCCTGGAAAGCAGTTTATCATGATGGCTACCATAATAGAATCCATCAGAATCAACACAAAGCAGGTGCTCTTGTATGAAAATTAATGAACAGTGGTGAAACAAAAGGGGCCTTTTTTTGTTTCTACTCATGAGAAAGCAGAAAAAAATATTATCCTTGTATTTGAACTCTGCTGGAGTTTAAGTACCCTTCTTCCCCCTGGTCTTTCGATCGGGCTATATACAAACATCCAAAACTAGAACAGCTATCACATTTAAATTCAGATGATACTTCCAAACATTCTTATCCACTACGAGCTCTCTTCACAACTGGGAGTTTCTTCCTTTCCAGCCCTTCATAACATCACCCTTGCACTACTTGCTTGCAAGAGGTGTTTTTTTTGCAGGGACCCTCTGAAAGATGTGGCCTGATGGTGATGTTTGTATATTTTGCCATTTTACACAGGAAATTGCCCAACCAAAATGAAGCAAACTACCCAAGCAGTCATTTCATACTTAGCCTTTTTGCACTTTTGTGGACTGCTCTTCTCACTGCGAGCATGACAAAATGTGAGGCAACAGAATAAAATGTAACTTACTCTCAGAATCCAGATCTAGTATTTTGCACGATACACAGCTCTAAAATAATCCAGCATAGAGAAGAAGCCACATTAAAGAAGAACAAAAGGCAGATTTTTAGAGGCAGCAAACAGGAATGCCAAATACAGATAAGAAAATTATTTCTACTTCCTACTTGGAGTTGCTATACACTTAGAGTTGCCTGAATAAATGTAAAAAAAAATATACTATAGCAGACTGATGTGGAAAACTTATAAGACTTGGGGCTTGGATTTGGTTTGGACATTTACAAATCACTCACTTTGAGATTTATTTTTTGCTTCAAAATGTAGAGTGGACTGGAAAAATTATAAGGGAGTTTTTAAGTTTATCAGGCTTCTACTACCAGTCTCAATTGAATCAAAGAAAAGAAAGCTGAGGGGAAAATGCACAGGGACAACATATAAAAGAATATCTCACAGTCTGAAAAATATATGGTTCAAGTTTTTTGCAAAAAAAAATTCCAGGGATCATGAGGTAAACTATTTTTTTCCCAGCTCTACTACTGTTATGATCAAGTTCTTTAAAATTATTAGAGAGATACCTCTGCCTAAATTAAGGTGCAAATGAGACCATATGGCAAAGTCAATAGTGTGGATTTTTATTTAACAGTAAATATGAGGTAGAGAGAGATAAGAAGATATGGGAGGCAAAAGAGAGAGAGGGAGACAAAGGGAGTGACAGAGAGACAGATTAAGTAGAAAAAATATCACCACTCTGTGGATTCCGACAGTATCCCCTTGGTCCTCTTCTTGTGGTCTTCTTGGTGGTGGGGATTCCAGTCTTGTCGAAGTGATGGTTGCAGTGTGAATCTGTCGAGGGAAGCCCGGTGAATCTGCTGAGGGAGTGGTGAGGAAAAAAGCCTGTGTGGTGAGAGAGGTTAAGGAAGGCCCATGGGTTTTTATTATGCTTAGCCTAGGTAGAAATGCCTTCAATACCTCCCCTGGGGTAGGGAGTTTTACAATGGATGATGTCATACTGGATCACAGGACATTTCATGAGTCTTTGACACCTTCTAAGACACCACAGCTCCCTGTTATATCAAGGTTGAGTATATTATGGCCCATCATGCCCATCAGCAGAAATTAATATCTTGAGGCTTCAAGTGAATGTTCAGTGCTTCCCTGGATGGGAGTTACCACAGCTTACTCCTGTGTAAGAACAAAGAAACACTACCCTGCCTTTCAGGATTTGCTTCTCTCCTATCTTACCCAGCTTGTAGCTCGAGGTGGGAAGTGTGCACGCCCTCAGCACCTGGGTGGTTACTTTGCACATCATCAGCTTGCACCTTGATTGTCGGAGCCATTAGCATTCCAGTCTCTCATACTTATGGATACATTCTGCTCCTGTGATAATGTGACAATAGTTCTACCTTTATCTTATCTCAAGTTCTTGTCACAGTCCAAATTAGTAGGCATATTAGGGAAGGGCTGGGCTTCAGTGAGCAATTGTTTCTTTGTACAATTTGCTACAGTGGACAAAAGTCTTTTGGTGATCTTAACAAGGTTTAAGTCATTAACCATTTCAGTCTCTTGCAAGTATGACACAGAGACAATTTAGGAAGAGATCGTATTTCACTTAAAAAAACAGAGATACTGTGAACAATACAATTTAAAATGGCAATACATTCCTTCAGAAGGATACTATTGAGCCATATAAAATCCTGATGGGGAAGATTCAGATCCTTTGTAAATTCATAAACTACCTACAGATAAAAAAACCAAATGAAGTTCTGATAAGTCAGCATCAGGCATTAGAAAAATCGAAAAATAGTCCCTTAACACAGAAAAAAACAGCATTAATGCTTTGAAGTGCTAAACTTTCGCTCAAGCCTAGTGGGGAAACAAAATAGCATCCGAAACAGCTCTAAGGGTTAAAATTGAAGTGTTTTAATAAATTCACACAAGACTATGCTGCCTCTGGAGGGATATTTTGGTGCCTGGGCAGTTTAATGCCCTAGGAAAACTAAACTGATCTAGGTGTTAGATGACTTGAGGATACAAAATCCAGGCTCTCTCCACCAATTCATAACTTTCTGAGAAAAGTGGGCAGCTATCTCACATGTATGTTACTGTGTGTCTGATTTAAACAGTGACACAGCAGACCCAACCGGACTTTAAAAATTGCCCTGACGTGGACATGTCCTCTCACTGACATGTCCTCTCACTGACATGTCCTCTTAAGAACTGAACAACATGGAATGCAAGGGTTAATACTACTCTGCTATCCTGAGTTTTGATTTATTTCTGTAAAAAATGTTACCGTTTTCAAGAATACAACGGAACATTATGATCTAGAAAGGTTGTAAACTAAAATGATTTTGTCTAAAGTTTTTTAAATGACTCAGTAAAATCAATTGAGTACCATACAGGTCAGCATGATATGATTTGGCAGAAATGTTAAACCTGAGTAAAAAAATCCCATGGAAACAAGAATCAAAGCTGTTTTGCAAGCAATGCATTTCTCTTACTGAAGGCGTAATATCTACCCTTAAGGTTTGGATATTTTAGTTGATTTAGAAAAGCAAGAATAAAAAGAAGAGAGTCACTTATTGTTTTACCTTAAAGAACAAGATTAATGATGTGCACTGAACAATGAAATGAAAACATTCGGTTTGATCCAAAACAATACTTATTGGTTAGCAGCAGAGTTAGGCTTAAGTGTGATAATTTTTAAGATTGCAAAGAGGAGGGAGAATGAAGGTATCCAATATTTTTAATAGTGTTTTTCCTATGTTTTGGATCAATAAAACCATTTTTTTTTTGCTACTTTCACATGTTTACACGTGAAACTGCTTGGTTTTATTGTAAGACAATTTTAAAAGTAAAAGGTCTTACAGATTCCTACTTCTTCCTTTCCATAGACCTGTCACCTCACTTTCAATTTTTAAAATATCAGGTGGGACACTTCAGCTATCTAAAAATGGCTTATTTTTTTCTTTAAGTAACAAGGAAATTTTTGTAGAAGAGAGTTAGTTACTCTTTTGTAAACTTAAGCTGCAAAAAAATAATTTTTAAATAGAAAGACTATAGAGTTTTTGAGGAACTGCTTAGTAGATCACAACAAAAATAAGACACCTGTCATCCCAATAGTTTATATCACATTGACTACATAAAAACATTCTAAATAATACACTGAGGCTCTATTAATACTGTATCATTTAATGACTGCTTAAAAAATTTTGCTTCATATTGTTTAGATTCATTGAAGTCTTTTGCAAATTCAGATGTATTACACATTTCTTACCTATTCTCCCTCTTTTCTAACATTCTTGTGGAGAAAGAAAGTTCTTCTGACTTAATTTATATTTTTCATGCTTTCCACTTAGAGAGGAAAAATATTTCAATGCCGTCAGTTCAGCAAATACTGTGTTTGCTATTTGTGGGTGTACTGCCACCTATAAGTATACCAGGTATTTTGTGAGAAGGAAAGAGAAAAGAACAATAAACTTCATAAAGTTACTTCACTAAGTTGAAAACTATTCATAAGAGGATTTTCATTCTAAAGAGGAATGTGAGATTGTAAATATCATCTTTGCATATACTTTCAAATCAAGATAAAAGGGCATCTAGATTAATAATGGCTATAGGGAACAGGTCAAGGATATTTCTTCAGTCATGTTCCATCTCCAACAATAAACAGATGCCCAAGAAAGACTACAAAGCATAGGGCACATAGAATCAAACACAGGTTTGAGTTGGAAGGGACCTTAAAGATCATTTAGTTCCAACCTCCCTGCCATGGACAGGGGCACCTTCCACTAGATCAGGTTGTTCAAAGCCCCATCCAGCCTGGCCTTGAACACTGCCAGGGATGGGGCATCCACAACTTCTCTGGACAATCTGCTCCAGCATCTTACCACTCTCACAGTAAAGAATTTCTTCCTAATATCTAATACAAACCTACTCTCTTCCAGTATAAAGCCATTCCCCCTTGTCCTGTCACTACATGATCTTGTAACAAGTCTCTCTCCATCTTTCTTGTAGGTTCCCTTCAGGTACTGGAAGACTGCAATTAGGTTACTCTGAAGCCTTCTCTTTTCCAGACTGAATAATCCCAATTTGCTCAGCCTTTCCTCATAGGAGAGGTGTTCCATCCCTCTAATCATCTTGGTAGCCCCTCTCTGGACTTGCTCCAACAGGTTCATGTCTTGTCTTTGCTTGTAAATGAAACATTCCCTGAATATTCTTCCAGCTTTGAGTCTTTAATGGTTGTAATTTCTGTTTTTTCACTGTTTAGTCTTTTAACCTCTACAGACATAATACTAAGATCTCACTCTGATTTCTAAAGATTATCTCAGAACAAGTCATTTTATATATAAGGCTAGGACAGCATTCTTCCACACAGGACTTTGCACCTACATTGAATTTCATCTGCGTTTAAATCTAGCACAGAGCCTCATAAGGCTCTTGTGAAATTCTTCTCAATAAGCTTTCTTTTTTTGCTGCCTTGTTTGTTTTGGTATAATTAGCAAAATTAATCATAACATTGTTCAGTACCTTTTCTGGGTCATTTTTATGCTCAATAGCACAGTTGCCTACAGGACATCATTGGTAACCTCTCTACCCCAAAAAGTAGTGATTTGCACCTATTTTGTTTCCTACTTTTTGGCAATATATAGAAGGACATTCTTTGTTATTTCACGCTTTTTAATGTCCCTAATTTTTTTTTTTCAGTGGTGATGGACCCTACAAAAATATTTTGGAAATCGAAATATTATGTTATAAGTGGAGTCTGCCAACTGGAACTCTCTGTTCACATGGCTGTTGACATGACAGTTTGTGAGGTGGATCTTTTTTAAATTATTTGTATTTTAAACAAAAACGAAGTTCATGGCTCCAAAGTGAACCATGGATCTTTTAATTCTACTAGTTTCCTATTCTGTTTCCTTTTCTTTTGACTAGTATAGACAGACTTACATTTCTCTCTCACAGTTAACATCCTGTAGTTCTCATGGTCTCTTCTGGAACCCTCTAAAAGTCCTTAAAATTTCTTAAAAGACTGATATCACATTTGCCACCTTCCAGGCCTCCAGCAGTTTTAGAGGCTCTTAGAAAAGAGCCTACATACCACAGGTCATGATTCTACTATTTTATCTGTGACTTCCACTTTTAGGTCACCACTCGCTTCAACAATTTGTTCCACAATCTCTTCTTACAGGTATTTCAATTCCATACAACAGTCCCTGATGTGTCCATTACCAAGATGGGTTTGGCTCTGAGCTCTCTGCCTCTTTCCACACTACAGGCAAATGCATTTTTAGCTTCCTTATGTCTTTAAAAGATAAATTCCTAGGGATCTGTGGAAACTAGAGAAGATCCCATTGAAATCAGAGAATTCTTATATAAGCTGTACACCAATTCTTATATAAGCTGTACATCAAGACCTAGTTTGGCCTCCAGAATTGTGGGGTTCGTTGCTCAAACGGTTTATAGGATTGCTGCATTGCATGAGAGTTTGTGTCCTTATAGACCACACCATGCCTCCCACAGCATTGATTCCATCTGCTTCAGGTGTAATAGGACCTAAATGGAAGATAGCTGCATATGGAGCAGAAAGACATAGAAAGGGAGAATAATCACCAATATTGTGTAACTCCAGGTATTTTTAACTGCTATACGGATATCCAAATCCCTTTTGAAACTTTCTGAGCTCTTGACCTCCCCGACTTGCATTGCCAGTGAATTTTTCAGATCACTTCTTGAATGAAAATGTGACTGGTGGGCAGAAGTGTTACTAAGCAGAATACTCCCATCAGTTATAATTCAATAGATATAATCCTGCTGTTTAACCATTGGCAACATTTCTATTTCTTTTATAAAGGTATGTGGCAGCAACATTTCTCTGGAGCAAGGCTAAAATACAAAGGACAGACTTCTGAACATGACTTCTTAGACTATTTAGCTGGAAATCCCTGGTTCCTTACAGCACCTGCAGATCTCAGCACTCCTTTTTACTTTCAGGTTTTTTCCTAAATCCAACTTTGTCTTCCCACAGGTGAAACGTTTAATCTTAGTTTTATTCATTCTGCTTTTTTACAATCCATTAGCTTGCTTTCTGTCAATTATCAACAGGCTTTTTACATCTCTAAGTGCACAAGTCAGCACAGAGGAAATGTCTCTAAGGAACAGTCTCTAAGGCAAAGGCTCATTTGAGGAATGCTTTTGGAAGGACCAGAATTTGACCAAGCTAATAATATAATATAGGTACAGCTGCTATCTTGTGACTTTTAATACAAAAATGAGCACATGAATTAATTTACTTGATCATACTGGTTCAATCTAAGGATACCTGCAATAATTTACATAATTCCCATCTCCTCTCTTTCTGTAGGCAATTTAGGACAATGTGTAATGCTTTTAATCAGTCTTTTATTAGTATCCTAAAAATGAAATCTTCCAAAAACAAGTTGTGAAGCAATATAAACTCATGTACAATTAGCTCAGTTTAAAAATGTTTTCTCCTAATGGGATTATGTTCTGTAAATGATCTTGTTGCTATGGCAACTACCACAAAAACCACACTGTGTTTTCAGTTCAATAGCAACTATTGCACCTGTGTACCAGCCTTTCTTTCTGTGGTTTATGTTTTTGCTTCTCAGACTGAAGTGTGGAAGCAAAAACAAAAACTGTGACCTAGAAAAGTTCAGGCATTGTTTCAGCTACGCTTGCAGGTACTATTGTTACTAGTACTTCTCTCATAATTTTCTTGGCCTAAGTTCAAATTATCTGTATTCATCAAGCTGAAAAAACACCCCAAAACTGTTGGTGGGGTATGTATGCATATATCTGCAGGGAAATTAGAAAAGCACACTACTTATGTTTCATGACATATTAGCCAACTGGGTAGATAAATTGCACAATGAAAAAAAATTGTCTTACTGTTTCAAAAAAGGCAGGAGAAAGCTGTGACTGGTATCAGCAATAGCCAACAATGAACAATTCTCTGTGGCCACATAGCTCTCTATAAAATCATATATATGAAAAGCCTCTCTCAAGCCAAGGAGGCATCAAAGAGTTATCATTTCCTTATCCTATATCTCTTGAGAGTTGACACTGGAAACACAAGGGAATGGGGAATTACATTTAATAGTATCCAAAGTAAGGTGAGGTAAAAAAAGCTCCTTTTTACTTGTAAATATGTGGCTGAATTGCATCTGGAGTCAGATGCACTGACTTAAGTGATCGAAGTGAATGCAAGCTCAAGAAGGCAATGTGGGTGAGGAGAAAAAGAAGATACATGGTTAAAGTGGAATTTAGTGGAATTTACCACTAGAAAAGATCGTGTAGAAACCCCCAGAAAAGTGTAAGTCCATTTTCTCACCTCATCTTTTCTTTAAATTTTAACTGAAAAATAAAAAGCATCAAACAACCTCAATTCCCTCCTTAAGGAAGAGATGATGCTGCAGTTATAATTTTGAGGGGCAGGCAGACACAACAGTGATGAATTTGCTGAGTTTGAACTCAAATAAGATTGGGTTCTGTTCCTCCAGTACCCATTATCATTTCTGCCTTATCAAAAACCTATCATTCATATACTCTCTCAAAAGGAAAATTATGCCCTTTTTTTTTGCAGGAAATTAAATGTAAATCAACATGCTATTTGCAAACTGAAATCACTAAACAAGCTGTATAACAATTTTTCAAAAGACATCCTAGGCAAAAAAAAGGTCAAAACCAGCCTCCAATGAAGGCTGAAGAGTAAAGCTTTGCTGTCCATAGAATGGCTAGCCTATTTGGAGAATAGGGAAGAAGGCATTACCAGATGTTCCTCAATGGAATACTGCATAATCCATTGTATTGAAGAGAACTGATGGATCCAATGCAGTTAAAAGAGACATTTTATCTATGGGTGTTGAGACCCTGAAAATAAAATCCTGTAACCAATGTGACCTCTCAGCAACAGCTACACCTGAATAAAATACCTTCATATTCCTTCCTTCGTACACAACATACTCCTTGCCGCATCTCCACCAGTTACCATGGAGGTACCAGGAGTGTGGGGAAGGAGCCCTTTCAGACAAGCAGTCAGGAAAGCAATGCAAGAAGTCTGTCTTTCATTATACTTGTTGCATACTTCTTCCCTGAGCCTTATCACATAGTGAGGTGTTTTTGTTCTGTTTCGTCAGTGAATAGATCCAAAGGCTGCAAAGGCTCATTATAAAATAAATCTTTTGGAATATGGGTTATCAGAGATGTCTGAACTGCACAACAACACTTTGGTATCAGTATTTCTTGGATCAGACTGATTTTTATTTTGGTTTTACTAACTTCTCATTCTTTTCAGACAGTGCTTAGAAAACATGAAACATCTTCAGTTTATGGCAATAGATTTTGATTGAACAACAACGTTCAGTTCTCAGTTCTATCTCGGACTTCCTTTGTCATTTGGAGGACTTCACCCATCTGCATTGCTGTATTTTCTACTACCCTCACCACAGATTGTCTGGGTGCCTGTGCTTTTATTTGGCATGGCATAACCAAATCCTAGGCATGTGTTGGACTTCCATAAACTACTGGTATAAAAATTAGCCAATATGTTTGGATTTTTAGTACGTGTTCCCAGTCTCACAGGAATAATTTGTTCTTCTGCATGAAGATACAAACACCACCCATCCTTCCCTTTCTCTTATATAATTCAGATTCTGCTGCTAAGCTGCACAGAATAGATTCCCTTTGTCATAGAATCAGAAGGAAACTGTTTTCACCACTTTTAATCAAGCAACAAGCCACAGGACCATGGTCCAACAACCTGAATACAGAGAATTAAGCCCTACCACCGAAAATGAAGATAAAATTAGAGTTACATGAGTAACTACTTTTTGGTTCACTTCTGTTCTTGCAAAGCTGATGCAAAAGGTGCTTCCTATTACCTGAAATATTATTGATTTTTTCTCACTATATGTGAGAAATAAAACATAGAATAGTCCTAAACAAAAACCTCAGACTTGAATAGCCTGAGCTCACTGTAGTTTTTCATCTGCTGACTGAGGACCAGTGTTAAATTGTTAGAAATACAAAATTGCTATGAAATGACAGGTGTAATGTACACAAGTAGCTACCCACTTCGGCTTAATAATCAGATGCAGGCAAAATTCTCAAATGACATTAGAAGGAAGTGATCAGCTTTACTCACAAGACATGAATCCTATTGATTAACCTACACTTCTTCACACTGTTATAAAATAATTGCATGAGATAGTAAAGTATCTACTAATATATGAGCAATGTTCATCATCTCTATGGTGACATATGTTAAGTCAGACAGAAAACTGTTTGTTGCCAGGGATTATTGCTCAGTCATTCCCAAAGCTTTTAGGCGATGGCAAATGGGAGACAGTTTTTGACTGTAAACTTTTGCCCAAGAAATAAAAGAGAAAAAAAAAAAGACAATGAGCAGTTCAGGACGAAGTGAAACACTATGTGCTGGGGTCATTAAGTTTTCATTCTGTGTATTAAACATTAATGAATAAACAAGAATGTAAATAGTGAAAAATAGAAGAAAGACTGTTTTGTTTTAACAATTCTTATTTAATTCTCAGACAGGACATTTTGTTTCTGAAATATTTAATTTAGAGGTTCTTGATAGCCTCTTCAGTTATCAAATACCAAATGCTAATTGGATCTTGAGACTTAACTAGCTGGACTGAAATGCCAAAAAAATAAAGGTTATTTAATCCTCAAAGTAATAATAGTTCCACTCTGAAGAGAGCTCTTGTACAGTTTGCTCAAGCTAAATCAAACTGTAGTGATTCTTGAATACAAAACACCGCAGGATCAATACTCACAGTCATGTAAGTGTCAGAAAACACAGGCTTTACTCCAAGCATTTTCCAGAACATAGGAGAGAACCCTCACTTCATTGCTCAGTCCTGCCCTACTCTCATTTTTATATGTATTAAAGAACATATCTTAGACTTTAAATCTCTCCATGAAAGAGATGTTTGTCCAGTATCCCACAGCCAGTGCTGTCACTACTACCTCCCAGCAAGATGTCCACGGCCTACTTGTGACCAGGAGCTGAAGATAGTGCCCTGCTCACACAAAAAGTTTGTCCTTGAAAATAAATTACTTATGGCACAACACAATTGAATCTGTTTCTGAAGTTAATCCATAATGACACAGATGGCTGGTTTTGCCTGTGAACTCACTGTGTTAAGCAAGTGCTGATCTTCCTGGGAAAGGGAAGTGAATCCTGCTAACTCACCAGTACAAGTGAGGGGTTGGAAGAAAGATTGGGAATGACCCTGAAAACTTAATGCATAGGCAGAAGGGCCCTCAAGGATGCAAACTCAGGGACATATCTGGAGGCAAAATTCAGTTCATAATAATTATAAATATAAGCGAACAGTCACTCCATAATAAGATTAGTTCTGACAGTCTGAAAAACATGTTGGCTATATTAACAGCAGTCTGAGAAAACTCCCAGGCAGGTGTCTATAAGCCATTAGTATCTATCTAGAAGGCACTAATAATTCAAAATGAGCACAGAAGGTAACAATATAATTTTGGGGCTACGGGGAACTAGAGAAGATAGTGTAGAAGAGTGAGAAATAGACTTCATAAGCCTTACAAGTTCTGTACTGCCCCCTGTGGGGTGAAGTTGTAGCCCCACAATTAAAGTTTAAGGTAGTGCAAAAGTTAGGCCGTGTTCCATGGGAGCAGTGGAGCTGGTTAGATGGTTTCCATGGACACGGCCTTGGGTTGCAGGGAGTACAAGGTTAAGACGGTTTGATAATGTGCAGGTGCTTGGATTCCTGGATGTTGTTGTAGGAATATGTTTGTGTTGTGTGTGTAGTTAGCAAGCTCAATAAAGGCTGCCTGCTGCGCTGAGCAGGCAGACATCTCTTGTCTCACTATCCTTGTGTGTCTTGTGTGTCTTGTGTGTCTTTCTTCCCCCACCGGACCAAGGCCTCACGACAAGATACCCTGCGACAGCCCCCTCTTTGATAAACTATTCATCCAGTTTGCTTTAAATTCAAATAATTTATTATTACATATTCAAATACATATTATCATTATTTTTAAATTAAGTTTCTTTCAGAGAAAATACATTTTTACTTCCCAATCATGTGAAAAGAAACTTATAAGATGTTCCAAAAAGATAGGCTGGAACTATGTGAAACATTTCTTCTACAGAAACTACATCATATGGATGTCTGATCAGAAAACTAAGATCCTGATCTCACTTTGCACTGTTGTAATCAACTCCAAGTGTATGCTCTTTTACTCTCATAAAAACAAGCAGAAAATGAACATAGTGTTTCCATGTGATTTTCTATTTCAGGAGCACTGGAATGTAAGAAAAGTGTTCTCTAGAGGCAGACCAATACATTGCCACTTTTCCTGCACTGTGACCTTCCTTTCTTATATCACAACCAACTCTAAATTCCTCTTTTAAGACAAAGTTAAAATAAAAGGACAACTGAAATTTAAAAAATAAAATACAAAAGAAGCGTTCTCATCGTGTCTCAGAGAAATCATAAACAATTTACATAGTTTGTCATGAAAACCAGGGGAAAATGTAGGCATATGCCTGAGCTCTGTTTTTCTTGTGACTAACTGGAAGTCTGAACTTCTGAGTCCATCACCAAAACCAAACCAGGCTGTTGACACTTCTGTGATTGATCTCTGTCAGTCTTGACTCTGTAGAAAACACTGAATATTTATACCCAGTGGAACTGAGTATTCCACAGTCCAGTGCTGTTGGCTCTGGCCTGGAACATAGGAAAGCGTTTCTAATCTCCTGTCGCAGTGACAGTATAGTTCTTTGCATGACGTAGAGAAGCTTGCAGACTATTATGTATATGCCTATGACTTCTCCTTTCCTTCCCATCTATCCCTTTCAGTCAAAACTTTCCCATCTCCTTACTTTTATCGAAAAGAAACTTCTTAGAAGCAACTGTAAGGATATTCCTATATGAAAAATAAAAATCAATTCAATGATCTGGTTTTCCACTGGGAACCCATGTTCTCAGAGAAATCTTTACTATCTGTAAAAATGGTCCCCTGACACCTAGTTACAATCCTCTTGGGAGAGAATCATCAGTATGAGCAAAATCTCAGCTCTGTCCAGCCCTGACTTCTGAGAAATGTGGACTCTGGATCTTCTCAAGTGTTGCACAGTAAGCAGAGACAAACAACTGACAGGCACATAGTCCCTAAAAAAAAAAGGAAAAAAAAAAGATGTTTATTTATCTTTCTGCAGCCCTGAATCCCAACAATGGTACCTGCATGTGCTACTCACTGCCACTCCACCACCTCTGCAATGTGTCATGGAGGACTTGAATCATCTCTGATGGACGTCGGCACACATCCCGCCAAGCATCTGACAGAATAATCTGCATGATCTGCTTGTGATTGACGCCAACCTGTTAGAAATCATTTGTCTCCAACAAACTGTTCTGAACAGTTTGTTTGATGTATTTGATAGGAACTGGGAGGAGAAAATAATAATTTAATAATGCAACATGTCAGAGCTAAATTATTTTTTGTTAGGAAAACTGTGGTTTTGTCATATATGTCGCTGAATTAAACTAAAACAGCAAATGCTCAGATCTAGAGTGATGTTCTGGTAATGGATTAAGTGGTTCTAGTTGTATCGAGAAGCATAACAAGGGTCAACACAAAGGATTTATTTCTTTTGCTGCCGTAGTCTGCAAAGAGCAACCCGTCCTTCTTATCATGTTGTTGCACTGCCAAGCAGGGCAGTACCTCATGCAAGACAGCTGCTCTCAGTACTGGCTTAAATCCTGCCTGGGCAGTGAAGAAAGCCATTTGCCCTGTGCTGATTTCCTCACAGCTGACACACTCCAGGAGACAGGAGCCCATGCTTGGGTAGAAGTGTTTTATGTGATTGATGGGAGATACCAAACAAGATCCAAGAGAGAAAGGTCTGAAATATTAACCATATTTTTAGCATGTTTTAGAAGTTAACCCCCTCCCCCCAAAAAAACCAACAAGGGCAATATTGCAGAACAACATGACATTAAAGTATTTTTGCCCTTTGAAAATCAAGAGGAGTGCTGAGGTGATGGACATCTATGTTTGGTGGCACTTCTTTGACCCTGGTAGCTCAAACTCCACTAAAACCTTAAATAGGAAGGGATAGATTTACGAAGGTTCTTCAGCTGAGCACCTCTGTCATTTTGTCTTGGGGAGGAGAAGGAACCAAGACCCAAATGCTCAAGAACCCCTTCACAGTTACCAATGAACAGTAACAGATGTCAAACTGTCATAAAGTAATAAGAACTGAAAAGCCCTACCCACAGCCACAAGTTCTCAGAAAAATTTTACTGTGGCTAAGAACTTTCTTTTCCTCTGCTAACAGCACAAACTCAGCTTTACCCATGCTGCAACATTAATGAGCCCGGCATGGGCTACAGAAGCCACTCAAAAACTGGGAAAATATATAAATGCTTATGTATACAAATTGCTCTGCACTGCTGCAGCTACACTGACATCATCTGCAATCTGGTCTGCACTGCTGTGGAGCCACACTGATATCAGATCTTTTGGTACCTTATTTAAAGCTAGTTGATCCAAGAATCCGAGTCCTATTTTCATCTGAACCATACATAGACTCTTCACCTTAAAATGAATCTCAAATTCTCCGTCTAATTGTTTTTTCATATCTGCTTTAGTTTTAGCCATTTAATCTTTGCAAACACCTTTCTCCTGTTTGGGCGGGATTTTTGTCCAGAAGTATTTTAAGTTTAATTTTTAATTTTTGTTTAGAAATTTATCATTTCAGGCACTTTAAGTGTCATTTTAAGTGTCATTTTACTTCTCTGGGCTGGTAACTATAGTGTAAATGACACCAGTTCAACAACCCTAGACAGAGAGTGCCCCGGCTTCTCCAGACAAAGAAAGCTTTTCCTGGAGATGAGGCATTTAATGGGCCATTATCTGAAATTATTAACTACCAACAAATATCACCTCATCCTCCTCCCCTTGCCCCCCCCACCAGTTTTAAAGTTATTGCATAGTATCTTCAAGAACTGGAAGATAGATAACTTTGCTGACAATTTATTCAGCAAAAGGAATAATACATGACAGACAATTGTGAATTCTAATCTCTATAACTGCACTTAGGAAGCCTCAGCAATATCAGATGAGAATGAATCTATAGTTATTATTTAAAGCATCTTTTATTTTCTAAATGCCACTGAAGCAAGGAGTTTCATAACAGCAATAGATCCAGGCTGAATTTTTCTATGAGGTGGAACAGGATGATCTACATTGAACTCCAGTAAAAACAGGGAAACATATTTGCTTTGAGAGACATCACATTGAGGAACTCCGTGGCATGACAAAGGGTCAGTAAATGTCAAGATATTGGGGTCTGGCTGTGTTTGCTAGGATGCCTAGCTGAACCACACACATTCAATAGGTCAGAAAATCCAGACCAGTTTCGCTGGAAAATTTTAAGAAAGTTTCTTCCTAAATTTAACCCTAGTCATGGGAGATCATATGCTATACTAGAACAGCTAGTATTTTTGTAGAAATTTTCAAAATGACAATTTGTAGATCCAGGTGATGTTTATACTCCTGTTTCATGTAAGAGTCAACTGTCTCTTGCACCTGTGTAGGCTTTTGTTTGTGACCAAACAGCTGAGTTCCGCAACCTCAACAAATGCCACATCTCTTTTTGGCACTTTTACACTGAAATATTTTAATTTACTTTACTGCACCCTTCTTTCAGAAAAAAAACAAACAAAAGAAAAAAAGTCACGTTCCACTGATATTTACATGTTACAGTGTATCTCTCATGACCATCCCAAAGTTAGGGAGCTACTTAAAGTTAATCAGGCAGGATCCTCCTACTGTCATAAGGAAGAAACAGGTACACCTATAAGACCATTCCATCCTCCTTAAGATAATATAAAACATAACAGCTGAAGATACCTTTCCTATCAGAAGTGTTTTGTTCTGTATTTTTCTGTGCAGAGAAAGTAAGTAAAGCTGTCTTTGCTATGCAAGAGGACTAATTTCAAGGTTCTCCTCACTTTGTTGAATAAGTTGTTCTGATTTATCTAGCTGCCACAAGATCCTGCTGTTGTAATGTAAGTTGCCCTCCAGCAACATCACAGACCATGTAGTTCTAAAAGCCAAGAAAAGCACTGCTTTCAACTATTTCCCTACTAAATAATGCATTTATTGTAAATGCCTGTAACTTTTGGGGAACTTGAAAAAATACTGTGGTTTTTTTCTATCACTGAGGCAAGGTTATATCTATCAATTATTATATTAAAAAATTAAAATTTTTATGTTTGTGTGTGTCTGTCAGACTCAAAAAAAAATGTAATCTCTTGACTATTACAGATGCTGGTACTTCATATACTCAGGCATACTTAGGGAAGTAGCCAAAAGAAATCCATTCAGTGGCAATTTTATTTTCTGAGTATAAAAAAGCTATCTCTAGAGAAAGTACTCCTATATTCCCAGACTACTTATTTCACAGGAAATAAAAAAACTAAGTCCTAATCCCTTCCACTCAATGGCACATTTGTATTACAAGAATCACACTCACGGTAAACAGCTTCTAACAATGCTTACCACTTATCCCTAGAAAAGGAGGATGAAATAGGAGAAGACACTGAAGATCTACATGAGGCTCAAGATCAACATGAGGCATTAGGAGAAAGATTTCAGATGTCCAATCCCTAGAAAGTATTCATAGGCACAGGACCCTTTTTGACAGATGGATAATTTCCCTGACTATATGGCATATCTGACCTTTAGGAATCAAGCCTGGTGTGACTGATAAGAAAAGTGCTAGGCTTAGAGTAGAGGTGATAAGAATAGAAGAGGTTTGACTTGTAATCTTTTTGGTTGAAGTGTACGGAGAAGGAATGGGATAAACAAGGCTACAGCAATATAAAACTATCAGAAGACAAGAAAAGGAATATCAAGCAAAATGGAAACTCTATAGGAGTGGAAATTATTCAAACAACATATGCAGTTAAATGCATAGGTAAATGCAGTTAAAATTGGACAGACCAGATAATTGCCTAGAAATTAAGAACCTAGATTATAGATGGTGTAGCAAATATTTTATATCTCTTTGAGTTTGCGATAGTAGATGTAAAACAACAAATTTAGAATTTTTTAGTTAATAAAGGAAAAGTTGTTTTGGTCAATTAATCTGACTACAAAGATGGAAGAGACTTTGAAATAAATTCTGAAGGCAAAAACAATTAAAATATATGCTAAGCGAAAAAGGAAATATGTATCTGGGTCTAGACTGCATTGAACTATTTTCTTTTTTGCTAATGAATCTGATTTTTACATGAAGGAAATGCTATAGGTCTCATTTATTTGGACTTAATTAAAGCATCTTCCAAGGACATATGGGAAATTGTTAAACTAGAGAAAATTGGTAGTAGTAAAAATATTATGACACCTATAAAAATAGTTTCTAGAGAAGACAAGAATACCAGTAAGGGAGAATGGGTCTTTGGCCAACCCTATCTCACATTTTCATTAACAACTCAGCCATAATAAGTAAGAGCACACTGGTGATATCCAAGGGATGATTGATGCTGAGAAACATCAAAATGGTAAGGACTCTGGCATTGTCTTGGAAAAGCTGGATGACTGAGAAATAGATATAAGTATGTGATGAGAATAACTACTTTTAAGTGCAAAGTCACAGATTTCAGGACAAATATCAATAATTTCAGCTAAGGTTTTGGAGTTCATCCTATGAAGATGAAAAGAGGATGAAAGAAAGAAACATAGCAGTTTATTTCAGGATGATCTACAAGCCACCAATGTATTGCTGCTGTGAGAAATGCAATCTTAAGTAAGATGCCTGACACAAGGCAATTCCTTGGGAGTTAAGGAAATAATAATGGTTCTGCTGAAACATCATGTGAAACACAGCTCTGGCCAAGCACATTTAAGTCAGTTCAAACTGGAGTGTGCATGAGGAAGGATGACAAGGAAGGTCATCATAAGAATGAAAAGTTTCTCTTACGAAAAAAGTGAAACAGTTTGACTCGTTTAGCATAACGTATCTTACAACGTGGTGGGGCAAGTACAGGAAATGAGGTGGAGAACAAAAATGCAAGTTATATAAAGTTGTCACAAGCACAGACAGGTAGCCCGCAAGGCTGACATGATTAATACAAACCCTGTTATCAGCCAACACATGGTCTGTCATATATTTGATTACCTTTGGGTTCCCAGCACAGATTACCAGGTATTTGTAAGGAAGGAGAGGCTTCTCTCAAAGTGAGAAAGAATATCATGCTATTGGAGTGACAGACAATTTTCCACTCTCCTTCTAGAGTCCACATAAGCTCAAAACTGCCTCTGCAGCAGTTTCATGATGAGGTTTCCATTTAGAAATCTACACTCTCTCTAGCTGTTTCCTTTCTTGTCCATTGTGCGCATCTGCTACTTGTAAATTCAGGATTTTTAAAAACGTATAGATATCAGTGTTCAGAAAAACACTTTTTTAACCCTTTAGGTTTACAAACAAAGAGGTAAAACTAAAAAACTTCTGTGTATTCCTACACTGATAAATCTTGCTGGATTTTGTC